TATTGAAGTATACTTAGATACCGAATATTTTATATTAAAAGAACGATCCTGAAGACTATAGAGTGTTAGAGAGACGCGGGAAAATGGTTGAACGCGACAACTTCTTTAAGACTATTTTGGAGGGAACGATCGAGGGGAAGAGGTCGACCTAGGCGCAGTTACTTAGTGGTCTATTTTACTTTTACTTAGTGGTTTATTTGGTAATAAAGGAAAAGGCCGGTGTTGTGTCGTATAAGGAGGTCAAGCAGCTGGCTTATAAGAGAGATGATTGGAAGATGCTCCACCGATAACTCTTAATTTTGATAATGATTTTATATTACCATTGTGTATTTGAAAACAGTAATACTGCGACAATATTTGATAAGATTTGAAATAGTTTTGTGATAGATAATAGTGGTGGGAGATAAAAAGGTTTGTAGCTCAGCGCAATGTTTCTCAGGACCTCTGATATTCTAGTACAGCCTGCCATGTTCAAAAATAGAAGAACTAACACACATACGAATTCTAAGGTTTCCAGCAGATTACTAAATTATTTAGCACAAAATCATGAATCCACAGAAAGAATGACTAAAGTGTCTATTGTTAACAAACTACTAATTTTAGTATCAATAGATATGCAACGACATAATCTCAGTACAGAATACTAAAAGAACCTACTTCAAAAGTTAGTGGAATTAAACCGGATTCATCCCCTGGTTTGCCACCCTTAGAGGTGGAACATTTTCTTCAAATTTAAATGAGACTACTACTGCGGTACCCTCTTTCCACCAAAAAAAGAATTTAAAAGTCGAAGCAATCACGTTATAAGAAAAACACAGTCGGATTGAAAACCTCCATTTCCATTTGGAAGTCGCTTAAAAACAAAAGCCAATCACAAGATAGACAAAGGCAATTCAAATTATGAATATTATATAGCCCTAATGACGGAAAATGAACAATCGTTAAAATGTATGAGGCTGTAATAATTGTCACAAGGTAATAGAAACATCAACAAAATCGGTGCACAAATATCACGTGTGACATACAGTCGAATTACGATCCTCCTTCTTTTGTAAAGTCGGTTAAGAAAGATTTTGAAATATTATTTCGTTGGCACACTTTCCAAATAATTGACAATATCAAAACCAACCTGTTTAGTTAAATACGAAATTGAGCGCGTCATTCTAATATCTACTCTGACCATTCGTAACATGTCGAACGCTGAAGATCGGGTTACTAAATCCATTATAGATTACGAAAACACTATTCGATTGACATCCATCAAATTTTTTCGACATTTCTCCACTGTGACATTTTCTATATCGAACGAGTTTCGACCCCCAGAGATTCCACGCTTGGCCGCTACAATATTATTACCTATTTTTGTGCTTGTGTTTTCATTGGACATATAGAGAAATACTACTTTTGATGAGAAAAAGCGGCATTACGGCTCGTGGCCTCGGTGGATTATGTTCATTCCAGGAACATTTTTTGCAGGTTCCTGTTTGTTTGTGTTTGTTAATTCTAGCACCTCGATTACAGGATTCTGTAACGTTTGTTAATAAACAGGACTCTGCAAAAAGCCGTAAGTATGCCGCCGTAGAAATGGGCCGTTATATCAAAGCTCATTTGACGTTTCCGATGTAGTTTTAGACATACTACTTTTTAACCAACTTTAGGAAAAGAGGGGTTCTCAAATCGACTATATTTTTTGTGTGTTTTTTACGCGATTGTCAACCAATTTCTTTTTTTTTTTTTTTTTTTTTTTATTTATTTATTTATTTATTTATTCAGGATATTCCACATAGCAATACACTATACATTAAATTTGAACATATTCGCTTAAAACTAAGTGCTTCTATAGTTAAGGAACATCACAGCATGCATACAAAAAAAAAAAAATTGTTGTTTTTTGAAACTGTCGAGCATATAGTTAATCCTTCTACCTATGATATGATATACAGTAATTGATTTAAAGTTACAAATAAAATTAAATTTCAAAATTAAAATTAGAATTAAAAATATAAATACAAATTTACAATAAAAAATTAATTGAAACATCATTTATGTATTTAAAATATCACACAACCTTCTCTTGTAATTGTGTAACCCAAGACCAATGTCCAAATCATGTAATTTGGAAAGCGAGTTATACGTCCTGCAGAGCCTCGGCAAAAGAGCGAAATGACCGAGGTTCGTTTTTGAACCTACTACGGCAAAAAAGTTATAAGCGCTTTTCCTGGGTAACCTGCAAGGCGTATTGAATTGTAGCATATTCAATAACTCAGGGCAGTCTAATGAACTGTTAACAATTTTGTGCAGGAAGATTAAATCAAGTCTCTTTCTACGGTTGATCAGAGAAGTCAACTTATAATGCTCGAGTCTTTGTGAGTACCCTGGAAGTCTCTCCGCTTCTAAATCGCCAAATGCCAAGTGATATAAAAAGCGCTTTTGAACACTTTCCAAACGTTTAATGTACACCTCGTAATGTGGAGTCCAAATGACACTGTTGAATTCCAGTCCAGGTAATACTAATGCTTGAAAGAGTTTTATTTTCGATGAAGACTTCTTGAACTCCTTAGCATTGCGCAGTACGAAACCCATCATCCTAAAACCCTTATTTACAGTTTTTCTTATATGTAAGTCAAACCGCAAATTACTATCTACTAAAACCCCCAAGTCCCGAATCTCGTCCACCGTCTCTAAATCTTGTCCACCCATATTGTATTTATGTAAGTTATCGAACTTGTTGCGTGAAAAGCGTATGTGATGACATTTAGCAACATTTAATATCATTTTATTGGATGTACACCAATTACACAAATTATTTATATCTTCTTGCAGTAGTTCCAAATCCCTGGCACCCTTAATTGGTTTTAATATTTTTAAGTCATCAGCGAAAAGATATACACTCGAGTTTTTAAAACAATTAATCACGTCATTAATAAATATGTTGAAAAATAGGGGACCCAAGTGAGATCCTTGGGGAACCCCAGACAGAGCTACAAGAGAATTTGAACTAAAACCGTTTACTACTACCTTAGAAGGCCGATAAGATAAGTACGACTTAACCCATTTAAGCAATGACCCATCAATGCCTGAAAGCGACAATTTGTTTAAAAGGATTTGATGATCTACTTTGTCGAACGCTTTACTGAAATCAGTGTATATGGCGTCCACCGGGATTCGCTCGTCTACTAATTTAGATACACTTGATATGAACAACGCTAAGTTTGTAGAAGTTGATCTAGATTTAACGAAACCATGCTGATGCGTAGTAATAAAATGCTTCAGGTGCCAGACTAGATGCTTAGTGACTAATTTCTCCAGAACCTTACCAAATATCGCAAGAACGGAGACCGGTCGATAATTTGAAACAATATGACGGGCTCCTGATTTATATAATGGGATTATTAAGGCCTCTTTCCATAGGTCAGGAAAAACTCCGTCATCAAGCGATCTATTAAAAATTTGTTGCAAAGGAGAAGATAGAACTTCAGCACATGACTTAATAAAAATAGGCGGAATCCCATCACTACCAGCCCCCTTCCCAGCATCCAAGGATATCAAAACATTATGCACTTCTTGGCTTGAAAACGACAACCTACAGAGAGTAGAAGTGGATGAGGAGCCTGGAGGCAATAACAACGGCGAGTATTGTCCATGGGTGTTGTATACCTTACCAAAGTTTTCGGCAAATAATTCGCAAATAGCTGGACCACTTGAAGCCATTTTCCCATCGAATTCCATTTCTTGTGGATAAGCACTCTGACCACCCCTTTTATTTTTGATAAAAGACCAGAAAACTCTAGGGTTACTACTTATAGCATCTTCAATTTTATTTATGTAAGAATTGTAACATGTGCAGCTCAGCCGAGTGCACCTTCTCCTGAGCAGTGTAAATGACAAAACATCCATGGGATTGTTGAATTTCCGCACTCTGGAATGGTATTTATGTTTTTCCTTAAGTAATCGGATCAAATCGCGAGAAAACCAAACGGGGTATTTATTATTGTTACTCTTCTTTAAAGGGATGCATTCAGAAATCACAACTCGTAGTTGATTGTAAAAAGATTGTACCATGTCATTTACGGATAAACATTTAATAAATATTTCATCCCAATCCACGGATCCCAATTCAGAAATAACTCTATTGTAGTCAGCCCTAAAAAAGTTCGGTCTAGCAAGAGTATTTACTCTCAGCCTAGGTTCACTAGCAACGTTAAGGCAGAAAGATAAAGGAGGATGATGGGCGTCAATCCTAGATAAAGCGTTGTCGTTATCCACTGCGCAAACAGTCCCGACAAACCCAGTGTTGGTAAGCACCAAATCCAAAGTTCGAGACTTATAATTTTGAACAGAATTGAATTGGTGAAGTTCATTACACGTAACAAAATCCAGAAACGCTGAATGCATCTCACTGCTAATACCAACGGGAATTGTGTGATTCTTACTGTCATGTTTTACCCACGATATGCCTGTCAAGTTAAAGTCGCCAACCATTAAGATATTATTTTCACCGTTTAAAGTATGTTGTGCTGCTGACATATGCTCTTTTAGTGTTTGTAATTGAAGAGGAGAAGGAAGGTAAACAGCACATATATATAGTTTGGCAGTCTTATTTTTACTAGTTTTGATGTCAACACTAATCCATAAGTCCTCAATTGAACTTTCAAATAAGGTTAATCTCAATGCGTTAAGGTGTTTTGATACCACAATTAAAACGCCTCCACCGTCTGCCCTATTATGAAACCGCGACGATTCACGGTCTCTTCTAAATACTGTGTAGCGGTTATCAAAAAGTTCCGAGTCATGCACACCGCTATTAAGCCAAGTCTCCGCAAGGACCACAACGTCATAGGTCTCGGAAGATATCTTTTTTAAAAAATCAATGGTCTTAGATTTCAAACCGCGAACATTCTGATAGTAAACACGTATGGGATTGAATTTTACATTAAAAAAAATTTAAAAGATACATGCGTGCTTCTAGAGAAACGAAAAAAAAAAAGCAAACATTTAAATCACTTCAGAGACTTAAGTATATCTATATTGTTGATGGAAATACATTCTGATGATTCGGTTTTCCTCATAAAAATCCTGCCGTTGCGAACCCATACGAATCTGTACCCTATTTCTTTGGCTTTAATTCTAGCTGCCGCGTGAAGTGATTTGTTATGCACAGACAAATGTTCAGATACGTAGATGGGTTGTGGCTTTTTCGCTGCAATGCCGAGAAAAGCACTGTTCAATCTTTCATTTGGATTTTTCCTATTGTAATTGATGGTCGCAGCCAAGAGGGAGTCCCGAATACGAACAGTGGTGAATTTGACAACAATCGAGCGGGGTCTGTTACTCTGGTTGTCTATTTTGGCCACTCTAGTAGCATGGAGAATATCAGTGTCAGCTATTTTACAGCCAACAACTGTTCCAAGTTGCAGCACAGTGCTGACAACATTCTCAGACCTATGCTCAGGCACACACTGAATTTCTATATTGTTGGATCTCGATTGCTGATCAATTGTGTTCAAGCGTTTCATGACGTCCCCCAAAGTGCTCCTTAACTCGACATTTTCCTTTTCTAACTTCTTTATTCTCGCCGACTTATCCTCCATAGATTTCTTTGTCTCTTCATAAAAATCGTTGAAAAAAGATAACGATTGCTGAAAGTTATTCATCATATCATTCATCTTCTGGAACTGTTCTGCGATCATTCTCTTAAATTCCTGGAAATCTCCTCTGGTAAAAACAGTAGTGTCTCCGTCTCTTAGAGAAGAACGGAGTTGTTTAGCGTGTTGTGGTTCATTTAAATCAACATCAGGTTTCTTGCGCTGAGTGACGTTGTCGGTAGGAGAGTTGGGAGACCCGGTAGCAACCACGCGCGATGAAGGAGGCGAACCATATCCATCGCTATGGCATCGCAGAGGTGTGCTGGAGTTATCGCCCTTCGGGGCATTGCACAAGCACGCTGGACATGTCCAAATTGCCCGACGCTCTTTGCCCGCTGCTGTTGAGGAGCTGTAAAAGCTGGTGAAGCGCTTTTCACTCACACCTGCGCAGGCCAAGTCGTAAACGCTGTGGCACTTGCTGCATTTTAAATAGTCTTTACCTTTAACTACCGTGAGGCAACCCGCGCAGGACATCTTCGATGACATGGTAGCCTGACAGGCTATGTGTGGGCTAGTACCACCGTATTGCAGAAAAAGCGACACCTGTCGCAATAAATTGGCTTTTCGTGGTAGCGATCGCAGAGTAGCTTATAGCGATGGACGGGGTCGCACCACTGTGTCGCAAATTAAAATCGATACCAGTGTCACAGGGAGCGCGCAAACGGTGGTATCAGTTCAGTCTTACATCAATCTATGTATATATCAATTATAGTCACTAAGTTTGCGGGTTCCGCACTTCAGTTAAAACCTGACTGTTGGCGAAATTATATAAATTATTTTATGTTAATCACCACTCGACAAGCCTTATTATTATTTTATTATCACTTTTATTACACAAAGAGTCCTTAGAAATGTCAAATTATAATTTAAAAATTAAAATTAAAAAAAGTAATAAATAAAAACTTCGAAGTCAACAAGTGTCATCAGAATCGAACTCACGTCTCCTGCGTGACAGTCCAACGTGTTACGACTGTGCTATCGAGTTCTTAATTCGCACGGCGAAATTTATGTTCACTACAAAAGGAAATGATAGTGATGACACATATCTATTGTTCACAGTCTATTGTTCAATGAGTCTTTTGTTCACTAATGACATCAAAGTCCAAGTTTTTTCAAAATTATAACGAAATTTTGAATTTGTTTTTGAATTAAACGCTACTATACTGCACTTATTTAGTAATCGAATGTCACCAACGTATTGAGCTCAGTTTACTCTAGCTTTTGCTGTATTTCACTATGAAAACTATTAACTTTTTACCACTAAAATAAATTAAAATGCACTGTAGAAAGATTAGCATGTCTGCTCGCTTTCGTGATCACTGACGTTGTTCGATGATTCTTTTTTTATTTGAAAGAGGGTACCTCAGAAGTGGTCTCTTTTAAATGTCTAGACTAAAGCATAGGTTCCCAAACTTTTTGGTTCACCGCCCACTTAGGCAAGATAAAAAAATTTCAACTCAGACCACTACAAAAATAATTGAAAACACGTGTTTTATATATTAACTTAACACAAAAAAAAATCAAATGCGGTAGCACCCTTTGGATAGCATCAACACACCCCAATTGCTTCCGAGGCCCCTGCCACCCCCCTTGGACTCTTCAGCGCCCACTGCGATACGGTAGAGACCACATTGGGAAATTATGGACTATAGCTTACTCGGGGATGAATCCGGTTCGTCAAATTTCACTCGCTTTTCCTTAATCGATTTTAATAAATCTTGGCATATTGGCATATGATAAATACAATGAACATAAAATGTTACGACGACCTAGAGCTGGTGTGTTGATAAAAACATCATACAGATAAGAGGATCTTTAACTGCGTCCTTGGCCGAACGGTTATCATGCTGGTTTGCCACGCAGAGGTCCTGCGTTGGATTTCTGGGCCGGGAGAAATATTTGTATGGCTTACATTTATTTCTTTGGGTGTTATTTGTGGTCCATGGCACACGCGATATAGAGTTTCACTAGTGCCAGGCAATGTGTGGGTACGAAAAAAGTCCTTAACAGTGTACAATGTACCTTGTGCTTGGGCTCATAAGATTCATTTTGATGAGGACTTCCATCTGCGTTTCAATTGTCATTGAGTACGACGCGGCAACGAAGACAATGAAAGTAGATAAACAAAGTTTTGAAGTCGGTTTTGTTTTTAATAAAAATGTTATATTTTTTGAAATAATAGCAATACTAGTTTCCCAGTTGCAACAAAGATCAATTTGTTCAAATTATTTTGGTGTTAACTCAAAAGGCTTTTGTTATGATACCCAGTGACGGGACGAAAAATTTGTGCTCCTTGTGGTAAGCGACACGCCTGTCCATAACAATTGCAGTGCCACTCAGAATTTTAAATCACAAATATCTGAGGGACACTGCCACTGCGGCCGTTACCCCGAACAATAGGTTTACAAATCCCATGTGCCTGTAACTTCACCAGCACCCTCACCCTTCAAAACCGGTACACAGTAAAGCTCACATTACTGCTCGGTGGCAGAAACAGGTGAGGTGGCAGTACTTCCCTGGGCGAACTCTTTTACAAGGAGCTCTACGGCTACTAAAGGAATCTGATTCAAGAAAGGATTTTCTCAAATTGTACAATTGTTTGAATTTCTGCATATTGTATTGAGTGTTGCTGGTTAAGGTATCAATTTTTATTAAGTAGCACCACCACGCACACGTAAAGTTTCCCAATTTCCACACACACACACAGCTTCCCAATTTTGGTGGCCTCCAATATCGTCCAATCAGTATTTCGTCCTGGTTTCTAATTAAGTGAAATGTGAAGCGTTAAAATTACGCGATTCAATTTCGGTAGATCTGTCGCTAATCCTTTTTATATATCCGAATGAAACTCCAAGTTAATCGTTAATATAACATTCAATTGCTCGTGATAATCAAATTACTTCGATGTAGACACCAACTCTTTATTCCCCTAAAAGCAAACAATCTCGTCTTTCCACGAGAATCGAATAAATTGTAATCGATTACATCGAATATTGACTTACGTGACCCGATACGATCTGTCGTTAGGACAAAAAACCAATTGCGAGCCCAAAGCCAATAGCTCTGTAATTACTGCTCGTATCTATGTAACATCGTAATATCGACGTATTTGTTTGATGGAAACTACCACAAAGTTGATACTTTGACATACTTTTAAAATATGCATATTTTGGGACGGGAATTTCCTGAAGTCTTGTAATAAGGATGTTGAATATCACGGTCGTGCTATTAAGTCTTTCAACCTTCGGAATTGAACTAAAGGACTAGATAACTTCGTAGATTAAAGTGACGTATTTCGGAATGCTTTTGTCGGATGTTTGAATTAACGACCTCGGGGGCCCAATAGTTTGCTCTACGGGCGCTGAATGGGTAGGTCGCGGTAGGTAAGACTAATTTGGGAAATATTCTTTTCTAAATTGATTTTGGTCTGGGTGTTCTGGTTAGTGAATTCCGTTCATTTCCGAATGCCATGAATTGATACAAGGTATTATTTTTTTTACCCATTTAACACTCACAATGACAATTATTGCCTGTCTCCGTGGCCGAACGGTTACCATGCTGGTCACGCAGAGGGCCCGGGTGCGATTCCCTGACGGAAGAAATATTTGTATGGCCCACATTTACTTATGTCGTGGGTTTGGGTGTAATTTATGGTTGTCTACTACTGTCCATGGTACCCGCAGTATAAGGTAGTAGTTCCCTAATGCGGCTAAGGCTATGAACGTGTGCGTAATTATTATATTATTATTATCGACATCACAATGTAGAGTTCTCAAAGTGGTTTATACCGACCCCAATCCGAGTGTCCACTTCAACTAACAAGAGATCTATGTCAGCGATAAAAAAAATTGGGTATGCACGAGACGACAATAAAATTTTGACTTTCCATAAATGGAATTACCCACATTACACAGATAGTAGCTATGTACTTACATAATTCTTTCTTATTATAGACATAAATTACCTATGAAGTGATACATTTTAGAACAAACGAAATACATCGGTGAAATAAATGTTTAAATGTTAACATTTTTTTCGTAAAGTTTGTCACTACACGGTTAAACTTACAACAGGGAACGAATTTGAACATCAACAATTAACAAAATTATTCAGCTAATTTAAATTAAATTCAAAATTACGAAATGAATACAAAAACTAATAATCACATATTTTTACAACATTAAGTGACATGACGAACAAGTTGTGCGCCTGATGGTACGCTACACGCCTATCCATAACAGTTGCAATGCAACTCAGAGCTTTAAATCGCAAAGATCTGAGGGGCACGGCCTCTGTGCCCGTCACCCTGAGACATAAGTTGACAAGTCCCAAGTGCCTATAATTTCGTCAGCAATCTTGCCCTTCAAAACCGAAACACAGTAATGCTGACATTACTGCTTGGCAGCAGAAATAGGTAAAGTTTCACAAAAAACAATGTTTTGACTATAATTAATAACGTATAATAAAAAATCATTAATTATTTGAAAGCCGTTTTATAGGCTGAAAAGGTTTTTATATACGCTTATATGTTGTTGTGTTGTAGTGTTGCTGATGTTGTTTTCAAATTAATGAATTTGTAAAAAGAAATCTATATTTGTAAAGGTAGGGGTCTACGCAAAAGAGAAAAAGTTGGCACTATTATACGAACAAGTTTGGGAGCCTCTGTTGTCGACAATAAAATGCAAAATCTAATTATGCAAATAATTTTTTTCCTTCAATATTGTAAGTTACATCAATAACGTATACAGATTATATGTCTCACTATTACCTAACATCGGACATCTGTACGAAAACAAAATATATGAAAACATATATCTCAAAATCTATGTGTAAACATTAATTCCACAAACTAACATTCTAAAGTGTACGCTCATTTGAACGCTGTACGAACACGTTATTACCGAATCGTAACTCTAACCGCCAGTGTATTTCACACGCAACCTATTTCACCACAGTTCAAAGTTTGTTCAACATGGTGTATTCCTGCTTTAACCGCACTGAGGTTTGACGGTTTTACAGGCTAAAACTCAAAAATATTATTAATGTTATTATCTCAGTACAGAGCAATTAAAACAACCGACCTCAAAAGTTCATGGAATTACATCTATTTGGCAAGTTTTATTGACATCGCTTACCGGAAAGTGCACGAAACCGGATTCATCCCCTAGTTTGCCACCTTTAGGGGTGGAATATTATCTTCAAATTGAAATGGCACTGAGGTACCCTATTTCGAACAAAAAATTTTGATTGTAATAAATGTCCTATCTTTTTGCGTTTCACAATGCTTTTGTTTTGAACATGATGTCAGTGACATCTTTTTTCATTTCATATAAATAAATAATAAATAATAATAATATAAAATATATTATTTATATATTATTATTATAATATATCGTTTGTCTTAACACAAATCCATGGGACCTGTAAATTTGGTTTGTTTGGAAAAACAAATAATAAATTTCAAATTCATATAAGTATATGAATTT